TAATGTTCTTTTTAGCAGCATCATATGACCCCTTTAATATTATTATTATTATTTTTTTAAAGCCAATTATTTTTTATAACCTAACTGATATTTGTTGAATATTAATTTAAATGTTTAGTTTTTCATTTACTATATTAGGAGTTTTAATGGAATTAACAGTTGCAAACAGATTATAAAAAACCTAAATCTGATTCTAAATATGTTTGGAGGAGCTGTGTTTCTTAAGTTGTTGCTTGGCAACAATACAGTAAGTCTGCCACTTAAATTATTTGGCAGAGTACATGGTTAATTCCTATTTTTAATATTAATTGCATCTATTTATTATATATTGATGTCTCATCACATTGCTGTTTATTGCAAGAAGAAAAGTTCTGTTTTAATAAATTGTTGTTATTAGTAGTAACTGGGAATGATGACTGTACAATTAATTTGTCAGGAATTGAAAAACAAAGATTGAAATTAAAAGAAATAGTAAAATGTAAGCAATATCACACATAAATACATACAGCTAATAGAAACGGCAAAAACACTTTCATAGAGTGTTAAACAGAAGTATCTAAATGTTTATTTTGATACAAAAATGAAGATATAAAATTGAATCAGACATCCCAGCATTACATGAGAGAGGGAATAGATTCCGAGAGAATGCGTTTATTGTCTCAGTTTGCTCTGTTGTAAGGCTGTTTGCCCAATACAGTATGACATAAAAACAGACATGTCGTGCAACACTGCTGGCAAAAATAGCTTGTTATTTGAAAAGCTACACAATTTTGAAAACAGCCAAACTTCTGTCACGCTACTGAAAATGGAGTTTAGTTATTAGTGTCGCTACTTTTAGTTGATCAACACTGATCAGAAGCTAGCCATGCTCTCGCTGTCCCTTTCCTTCTCTAATCTCTCTCTTTCATTTGCCCTAATCTTTCTTTTTCTTGCTCTCCAGTGTTCACTCAGCCCGCCTTTTCAATTCGGTTGTATTATTGTTTAAGAACAGTGTGTTTGTTGTGTGTGACTTTGTGTGTGTGTGTGTGTGTGTGTGTGTGTGTGTATGTGTGTTTGTGTGTGTGTTGTGCAGTATGTTTGGTCTCTAAGGTTTAATTAAAGAGCAGCCAGAGAATCCTGTCAATGGTCCCAAGACTCCCCTCAGAACCCTAGAGTCATCCTCTTCTATTTTACACT